CAAGTAACGGAAAGTCCCCATAGTCGTTGTCTGTCTATAATGAACTGACTTTGAATCGAGCATTTTTAACCTCATTGGTTAAATGTAAGCTTTAAAATGTTTAAATTGCAATAACAATGAAGAACAATGTAAACAGAGAATGTTATTAGCTCCAAGGGCCAATATATAGCCCCATGATCAGACCATCGTAGGATTTAGGAAAGTTAGAGCCCTAACCCTCATTTACTATATGTACTACAAAGAGGCACCGGGAGTGACACGCTAGTAAAAATCCCAGCACTCGAACACTCTGGTTATCCCTGACTCCACACGGTTAAACATAGGAAAAATTTTCTACCGTCAACTATTAAACTTTAGAACATTCTTTCAGAGACAAGTGCTATGACCAGGGACAGTCGGAGATTCTCAGCGCAAAACTCTGACAACGTTTTGTGTAGGCAGTCGTCCGGCTGCTTATGCTAGAGTTGACATACACGGGAAAATAAATATGACTGAATAAACCGTTTTGGGAAGTAATATTTTTCAAGAGAGGGCGTCATTTTTTCTATGGTGAACCAACGTTGAATCAATCACTCACGCACTCACGCACTCACTCAACTCAGGTAAAAATGATTACGTCTAATACGTTTGTTCTCTGCGTTGGTGGTGGCATAAATTAAGTTGTATAAACGTGAGTGTTGCATCACCATGTCTTGTGATAAAAGTTGGAAGAAAAAACAACTACAGTATTTTAGAAAATTGTAATAGCAATAAAGAGCTCCATCAACTAATTTTCTTCAAAAATGTGTTATTTCCAGCGTTTACGCGTTTATCTCTTGGTAGTTTTTGCATAGGATAGATTTATTTTTGTAGCAATAGCGGCTACTATATTGTGACCAAGCTGAATTCTTATAGCTATGGTTGTATTCGTCTTTAACCCTACCTAGGACGGGGGGGGGGGGGGGGCGTAAAAGGTGCCCGCGGCAACTTTGATGTCACCTAGCGTCCGAACGGCTAGCCGTAGAACGGCCAAACTTGGTGAATTTTCCTAGAATATTGTTGGCAACAAGTCTCTATCATTGGAATAAGATAATGATTTTTTGTGTTGCCATGGCAACGGGTTTCTGACAGGCATTTTTTGCTAAATTTAGTATTTTTTGTTTCAACAATAGAGTTTTATGAGTTTTATGTCAAGTTGCTCAAGGTTTCTAATATTAATAAAATCCCTGATAATTTTATGTAAATTTCATCATTAAATATGCATAATTTATGCTAATTTGATGACGTCATTGGCCAAAATATAAGATGGCGGACCATATCATTAAAACAGGTATATACAGGTTATTTTCATTAAAATTTCATTAATACTTCCATTTCTTTTTCCAAAAAAGGTGTAAATGAAGGTCTTTAGTATGTTTACAGTGTATTTTAGGCTTTATCATGAAAAAAAAACTATTTTTGAAAATTCAAGATTGATGATCCAAGATGGCGGATATCTTAAATATGCATGACGTCATTTTATGACGTCACTGGTGTTGCTATGGGCAACATAAGACTTAGTACACCCTAATATCTGTCACAAACACTTTTGGTAAAATCACATTAATGACGTCATAATGACGTCATATTACGTCATAACGACATAAAAATTGTGGATATGATAGATTTTCACTAGTACACCATTCTATGAAAATTTGGTGGTCATACGACATACCGTTCGCGAGCTCTTAGGGGG